GATGTATCTCGCTGCATTGCGCGAGTACGCTTCTAGTATATATATATATATATATATATATATATATATTGGCGGTCGGTTTGGTCCAAACCGTCCAAAAAACGGTTCTAGACTGCAGATCGGACCGGACTGTCCGATTTTGTTATTTTCCAAACCAGACCAAACCGCAAGACCGCTCAAACCGCCAAAAACGCTCCGATTTAACTTGGTTCGGCCGGTTTGAGCGGTCCAACGGTTTTTTTGAATACCCCTAATTGATGTGTATGAAAGAAAACATTATTAGATTAGAGGACATTTAACCTACCTCTTATGTGATTTATATAAATATAAAAACATAAGTAAATGATCGATCATTCCATTTCCGTTTATAACTAGCGGTCAGTACCGCATGTTGCGCGCTATTCATAAAACATATTCTCAACAGTAGCACAAGTTAATAAATAAATCAAAATGACCCACATGGTAAAAGTTATAATTTCTTAATACCGTAAGGTTACTCATCAAGAGTACAAAAATCCAGCATCCGCAACCACCTTGAAATTTTTCACGGTATACACCAAACCCTCCTTCAAGAAAATCTTTAACTTCGACACCAAATTCTTTCAGATTATTGTAGCTATCAGGATTTCTTGAAAATACGATGAACAATAATGTAAATCAGTACAAAACTCCTATATAAAATATTGTAATTTTAAACTTGTCGATACACGTTGATCCATATTGTAAAATGGGCATGTCATTTCGTTAATGAGGACCATATACAAAGTGATTATTCTCTATCTTTTTAAGTTCAAAGATTTTCACAATCGTCAAATTTTAACTTAACCGTCCAACGTTCATTATTTTCTCCCAAGTTTTTCAACTTTATATAATCCATTAAATACCAAGAATATGGACGACAAAACTTGTCTTTTCAAGTTCAAATCCAAGAAGAAATAAAAACCCCATGTGGCCACGGAGGTTCAAATGTGGTGCTCCGGGCTACCCGCAAAGCAGGTGGTCGCCTGGGATTAGTCGGCTCGAATAGCGGGTTAGATATCCAGGTTAATAAAAAAAAAACTTGTCATTTCCACAAATGTTAAAAGAAATTCTATTTTATGCATATAAATAAGTACGTATTTTGTATTCACATCATCATAAAGGAGTCATTAACAGTAAGAAATCCATTATCTATTATATATCTAAAAGGAAAACCATAAAGAATGATACGACACATTATTAGAGCACAAATTCACCACAGGAATTTTCTTATTTTTTCGAATTTTTAAATTATTAAATAAGTTAAAAGACTTTACTACCCCTATATGAAAATTGTGTATTTCATTATAGGTAGGCTAATTTGGTCATTTTGCTTCCAATCTAATTATCTATCCATAACCCCCAACTATCCAGCTGCCTTGTATTGCCTTAAATCTCTCCGTTCAATTCATGTTAAAGAAGCATCATCGATTCTCTAAGTCGGTGAAGAAGTTGCCGGATACCCTCCAAGGGTGGTGTGGAATTCTATTATCAGTTGGCCCACTATAACAGGGGTATTCCGAGGCCCGGGACTATCATTTCCTTGTGAACAACTCACTT